CCGCACCTATTCGTGTGACGCATCACTTGAGAGACGCACAGACAGCCTACTAGATGAATACAGGACATCAAGGATAGGGCAGCGCTTTCAGTGTGGATTCAGGGAGCTCCAAGCGTGAAAAACCACAAGAGTTAATGTAGAGTATGTAGTCTAGTTGTCACAGAATAAAGATGAAGATGTATTCATAGAATTTAACGTATGTTTCTTATGTCTGGCTGTGGGTTCATATAACAAAAATTCAACATAATATCAACACTTCTCAGAACACATCTATATGTATTGTTATGATGAGCTGGTTGGCACACGTGTGACAGATGTTTTTAAAGCCCTCAAAGACAGTCAAGCCTTTTTTAGAGGAAAAAAAAAATTGTGCAGCAAAAAGCTTTAAAAAATCCCCACTTTTCCCACATGCCTCTCGAATTTGACAGAAACTGAATCTCATGGCATTTTGCCAGTGCCTCCAACAAGCATGCATCTATTTATAAATAGAACAACTCAAACACTCAAAAGCAAAACCATTTAACAAAAAGTACACTTTCTCCTGTAGTGTACAACACGCTCTGCTATTGTGCTGATGCTTTTCTTGGCTCCTCGGATTTAAGCATTGAAGACAAATCAAAAGAGAAAGTCTGCTGCTGATGATGCTGGAAGACAGTGAGGACATATGGGAAAGCTTCCCAGGACTTTGGCCTCTTGCATCATCGTCCAGACAGCGACAGCTGTGGTGTGTTTGTCCCCCCTGGCTCTGGAGGGGCCAGTGCTCTTTCCCACAATTCCCTCAGCCTGTCATCGCAACCCCATCACATGCGAGGCTCCACAGCCATGGCCTTTTACTCACCATTACCTACTGCTCAGTCTGACAGACAAGTCAGTAATGATTGTCACGTCAGATTAATGCCAGTGACCATGGCCAGCTTCTCCTGCTGTCAGCGAAATTTGGCCCATTTATGCCGAGGATATTACAGATCCGTGGATGTCAGTGGAGATGGGTCACAAGTTTCCAGGGTGGAAAGCCTCTAAGGCGAGTACTCGGGGCTTATGCAAAGCAACCTGTCACTACGTCAGTGTCTCTTTTCAGCCTGTCTAAGGGTTTTGTAAAGAGAGGGGTTAAACAGGTATGGATTACACATGCTTTGGGAGCAATGGTGAGAGATGGTTAGGAGAACTTTAAACTGCAGATTGTTAACAATAAATGAGCTGTTTCTTCTCTGTGGAAGCAACCACATAGGCAGGCATTCAGGCATCGTGCGGTTTGTGTCTGTTTGTTGTCATGTTGTGTCCCTCTGTGGTTGTTTTGTATCCTATTGTAGTCATTTTTGTCTCTGTGTTCGTGTGGTGCCTCTTTGTGGTCATTTAGAATTTTTTGTTGTTGTTTTCTGTCTCTGTGTTCATTTTGCATCTCTGTGTGTTTGTTTTGCTTCTCTTGGAGGTTATGCATTTCTTTATAGTCATTTTGTGTCTTTGTGTGGTTGTTTCGCATCCCTCTGTGGTAATTTCGTGTCATCATTTTTGTCACTGCTTATTTTGTGTCCCTCTGTAGCCATTTTGTATCTCTTTGCTGCGGTTTTGCCTGTCTTAATAGCGGTTATGCATGGCTTTATAGTCATTTTGCCTCTCTTTGTAGTTGTTTGATTGATCATCCAACAATAACTGTTAACAGTAACTTTACAAAGAGGTTCAGGTCCTGGGCCAGTGCTTAGTTTGACCCTCAGTAATCCATCCAAGTCTGTAGTGCTTCAAGGCATAAATATGTTTGGAGTTTGTTCTTATCATCAAGTATTTCATTTGTTGACAGTTTAACTGCAACCAGGTTCAGCCTTAATTAAAACCACGGCGTGGTTTGTCAGAAGTAAAAGTGTAATTTGAAGCAATTACAGGGAAATTATTTTAAAATGCAGAACTTGTTTTGATCCCTCTTGCTGCCAGAATCCCCTGTGGCATGTTTGTATGTCAGGTTACTAAGACTGTCCAATAAACAAGCCCCATGTAAGTCTATACAACTTTTTCTCATAAGCCATGGGCACTAAGTACCTTAATATTAAGTAAACATGTCCTTTCACAGGAATGATGCATGTTGCCATCAAGTTTTACATTTAGACCAATAATTACACAAACATGTCTGTCGTTTTCTGATGTTTAAATGTCAGAGCACACTGCCAAAAGCAACCCTGCAGGTCTTATCCAAATATGCTGCATTAGACATGACAGGTAATGGTACTGACTATGTCGGCTTGGAGCCCATCTGTGCCACTGACATGAACTGGCATAATGTTATCAGTCAGTCCGTTGAAGTCAAATGTCTGTTCTTCAGATGTAGATTGCAGCTGAAGTCAGGCAGGTGGAGACTGTCGCTCCTCGGAGGCCAGGGGGGAGATAAACATTGTTTATCTTGTTTTCCTGGCAGCAAATTGAAGAGTTGTGAACATGACCTTAATAACGTAACACAGTCAAGCACGGAGCAGGAGCTAGGCAACAAACGGGTAATTTCATTATGACAACAAAATGTAAGAGTGGAGCTTAACAATTTGTTTTAAAACTACCTGGGCACAGAACACATAGTGTTTGTCTGTGAGTTCGCTCTGAACATGTCATTTTCAAATGACAAACAAACAAAATGGAAGTATCAATCTAAGCTTTATTCATATAATATATGTAACTTAAATGAGTGTTATTCTTCTTCCTAAAACAAGCCAAGCTTAAACCCCTTTATCTGAATAACATTATTTCAAGGCATGTATCAACCTTTGTTTACTCAGGGCCACAGATGAATCACTTCAGTATCAAACCATAGACAAGGTTTTAGGTAAACCATTATTTCTTCTGGTCACACTTCAAAATCAAGTGTAGGTAAAGTGTTAAATCTAAATGTAAACATCAGTTATCTTGAAGAAAAGAATGATCTGAGAGTAATGTCTAAAATAGTAAAAAGCAGCATGCGTGTGATTGTTTTTTTCCAGTGCAGAAAAACACATTTTAAAAGAGGCTTTGACCGTGAAAATAAGTATTCGACACACATAACGCAGTGCAAGACAGACTTTCGAAGTCTTTAGAGGCCTTCATCGGGGTAGGCCACAAGCCAAAACGTGCTGGTCTAACAATAAAGTTGTTTTATGTACTAGTGTTGCTGGAGTTTTGACCCCTTTAGACTTTATTCCCATTCTCCATGTACCTTGGAAGTGGTTGTTGTGCCAGAAACTCCTACTCTGCTTAGCACAGGCTTTACTCTCTGCTGCTATTAGCTGCTTCGCCAGTGATTGATTTTTGATGCTTTTCTTTTCGTTCCTACTGTTGGATGTTTGATCTTCACTGTGCAGAATGCTGTATGTGCAGAGTTTGACACTAGAAGGATGTTTTCACATTTATCGACTGAAAATGGAAAGTTTCTCTGTACTCACTGAAAATCGGATTTTAAGGGGCGGGGACTACGAGCATGACAGCATCACAAATAGTTTGAAAGTCCAAAGACAGCCAATGCACTTCCACTGAGAATGGACACTGAAAACTGAATCAGTCACATGCTATGTTGTAATAAGTCCAGTGGATAGACCTACATGATATGAAGCTTTAATGATATAGGTTCTCAATGTATTGTGCATTGTGCATTGTCCATATTAAATAAACAATATACATCCAAAAAAATTAATATGTGTGTATGTGGATTGCTTAATTGCTAATGCAGAGCTCTCAACATAAACACGGTATACTTATTTATAGGTAGTAGCATCCGTGGGTGGTTTTATTCCAAGTGGCAGAGCAAGTTTGTCGTTTTTCTTGTCCACATATTGAAAGGTGGACGCTGAAACCAAAGTCGCTCCCAGTGCTTTTGCATATGTGGGTGAAATTTAACCGTGTACCAATTGAATGTAACGCCCACAGTGCATTTAATTTGAGTCGTTTCAGAAAGAAATTATAATGCTTTGAGGATATTTTTATGGTCTATGTTTTTTTTATGCGTCAAAGTAAACAGAAAGTAGGAGAATGCACATTAGAAAGAGGCAAACATGACAGTTTGTCAATTTCAGGGATGTGGGCAAGACTGACAAAGGGAAACAAGCTTTTCAAATTTCCTTACGCTTTATTTTCAACAGAGCTGGGTTTGCTGAGCTGAGCCTGATTCATGTCACACCTACAAACTGTCACACATCTCTGCTGTTGGCCGCTGAGCTTGCTGCTTTGGAACAGTAACAGGTAAACCATTACTGATTGCTGATTATACACGTACACATGCTCACATACAGTGAACATAAATGAATGTCTCTACACCAACACAATTACTGTAACATCACACATAAGTTGGTGATTGGTCTTTGGGGGGCCGTGTTTACATTCATTATGGAAGATTAAATTGATTCTCATCTGCGGCAGTTACCTGTATGGGTCAGTAGATGGCATTACGTCCCTTCAAACTAAAATCATTCACAAATCTCATCAGGTTCCCTTTTAGTTTTTGCTGATTGTGTGATGTTGTCCTTCAAGCACCAAGCATGAAAATGGGATACGCTGACTATAAATGAAGAAATAAGGTATGGCTATGAATCGAATCTAATGAAATGCATTATCCTGCCCGGTCACTCTCCAAAAAACAGTAGTTAATATAAAAGGACCAAAAGAATGGTTACTTTCTGGAGCTGTGATTCATTTATTCCAGCAGAGACCAGGTGTAAGAACAAAGTCATCACCTCCATACCTCAGGGGGGCAGTTTTGTAATTATTTAAAAAGAGTCTAAGACTAATTATATATGCCTGACTGGTGACCTGAAAACCAAAGCTCTGTGGGCCTTTGGACTTTTAAGAATGTTAATTTCCTTCTTTCTGCTTTCTTATTTGAAAAATGTTTTCAAATAGCAAAGAGACACAAATCTATGTGCATGTTAGCAGCTGACATTGAGTAGGAGGTGAAGCATCCT